AGTATTCGGATTAACCTAGGATACGACTCTGAAAAGTTCTGAACAGTTACCGCAACACTACACGCCGTTTCATAACTGCTGCTGTTGCCATCACTGCTATCAAGTAGTTCGGACATGGCAGGAGCTAAAAAAATTGCTGGTAGTCTTTCAAAGAATACTGGCGAGTGATGGGCTGTAAACGAAATGTGCTGCCTCAATAATTTCAAAAACTAGACACCCATGCGGCACGCTTGGAGGTGAAGTACAGAAGGCGAGTCGATCCGAGTATGACCTTTCGGACTGGACTGGACTGAACTATTCCAAAAATAACAACGAGGGGTCAAGGGTGCGAGTCAACCCCTGTGACACGGATTTCTGTGCCGTGTCACCTCCCTAGTTTGAGTACGACTCCCTGGTCTTCACCCAGGCACATCCATGTCATCAATCCATCAAGTACTACTACTAATTGGTCTACTTGTCATTAGTGGGGCCACATCTGAGATCACCTCACAGAATGCTGCACCTCTCAGCCTCAGTCAAGGACGACCCTGAGCTGGTGGCACCAGACTTTGTCAACATATTGAAGGTTGGCACAAGCCGTTCAGTTCTTCTGTGGTCATGGCACTCATCCGCACCCTCTACATGATCTGTGTCCAGCACCACTTACTGTTTCGAGCATCACACCTGCCAGTCACCTCCAATGCCATCGATGCTCTGCCCGGACCAAGTTGGATGACTCCAGAACCTTTGCTCCCACAGCTGCAGAGCGACCTGACACCATGGTCCAGCCGATCACCGCAACAAAGTTCGTCCTTCTATTTGGGCAAGCTCCCTTTGCTGCACGGGCATTCATCCGGCGTGGAATGAGGGACATTGCCAAGGAGATCATCCAGGTAACTGTCTTACTGCGAGACATTAGCTGCGTTCACATCCGTGTTGCTTGAACTCTTGTCAGTATCCTCTTTACCACATGCTATCTCAATGCACAAACAATTAATGCCTAGCTACCCAGGGCCTTTTCTATCCTCGTCCCTCTCTTGGCTCCGCCAAGATCTCTCTCTGCAGTGACCCCTCTCTGACTCCTCTCTTGGCTCCGCCACCAAGATCCTGCTCCGGCAGTGACCCCTCTCTTGGCTCTGCCAAGATCCTGCTCCGGCGGTGACCCCTCTAGCCTCTCTTGGCTCCGCCAAGACCCTGCTCCGGCAGTGACCACTCTCTTGGCACAGCCAAGATCCTGCTCCGGCAGTGTCCTCTCTCTGACCTCTCTCTTGGCTCCGCCAAGATCCTGCTCCGGCAGTGTCCTCTCTTTGACCTCTCTCTTGGCTCCGCCAAGATCCTGCTCTGGCAGTGACCCCTCTAGCCTTTTTTAGCTCCGCCAAGATCCTGCTCCGGCAGTGACCCCTCTCTTGGCTCCGCCAAGATCCTGCTCGGGCAGTGACCTCTCTCTGACCTCTCTCTTGGCTCCACCAAGATCCTGCTACGGCAGTGACCCCTCTCTTGGCTCTACCAAGATCCTGCTCCGGCAGTGACCTCTCTCTGACCTCTCTCTTGGCTCCACCAAGATCCTGCTACGGCAGTGACCCCTCTCTTGGCTCCGCCAAGATCCTGCTCTGGCAGTGACCTGTCTCTGATCTCTCTCTTGGCCCTGCCAAGATCCTGCTCCGGCAGTGACTATGACTTTAAGAGCACTCAAGGCTGCTTTGGTACGAGGCTTGCTGGCCACAATAGGCCATGCTCATTTCCGGCTACTCAGGGCTCTCGGTCTTCGTCTGTCAGATGTGACTATCCTCTTGGCTCTGCCAAGATCCTGCTCTCTCCGTAGCCTCTCACTTCGCTCCAGCACCCTCCTAACTGCAAGCTGCTGTGTTTTGTAGTTAATGTAGCATTATAGTAATAATGCAGATTAATGGGAGAACGCGGCTGCTTCGTGCTATCACTCAAACTATGCTGCTATGATTGCTAGCGCTTTTACTGCATGCTCATGCGTTGCTGCTGGCTACAGTCACGTGCACTGTACATCACGGTATCCATGTCGGTCAAACGCCTTGGTTCATGCTCACATGGTACTCTATGCGCCGTGGCATTCTATGTGTCATTCAACGTGACACTCAACGTGACACTCAACGTGACATTCATTCATGCGCGACGCTCAACGTAGGCGGCATGCGTCGTGGGCACTCAACGTGTCCTGCTAAAGTTTGCCTAGTTATATATTATTTCGATCGGTTCTGTGTGTGGATCACTCTTGTCAGATTGTTGTGTTTCACCCAACCACCTCCCATTTCTCCTATACTTTGATAAAGTAAATAAAGTCGTGTTGGCCATGCTCATTTCCGGCTACTCACTGGGGCTCTCGGTCTTCGTCCCTCGGACGTGACTATCCTCTTGGCTCCGCCAAGATCCTGCTCTCTCCGTAGCCCCTCACTTCGCTGGCCGGCCAGCACCCTCCTAACCGCAAGCTGCTATGTGTTGTAGTTAATGTGTGTGTGTGTGCGTGTGTGCATGCGTGAGTGCGTGCGTGCATGTGTGTGTGTGTCCGTGTGTGTGTGTGTGTGTGTGTGTGTGTGTACACTTATGCACCGCAAAGCCTCCTCTGCTACGTAGCCATCGGTTGCATGTTGGACACTGTACTGATCCAGGCCAACAATTCAAATTTCACTGCCAAGCTTGCCACAACCGACGGTTCCGGAGGCGGCAAGATCTGGAACGCCACTTGGAGCATTGCCTTCCCCCCCCCTAACCTCTCTGACAGTACCTCCCATCTGGGAGCGGCGTGGCCAATCCTGGCAGCTGTCAATAGTAGTAGTAGTAGTAGTAGTAGTAGTAGTAGTAGTAGTAGTAGTAGTAGTAGTAGTAGTAGTAGTAGTAGTAGTAGTAGTAGTAGTAGTAGTAGTGTGTGTGTGTGTGTGTGTGTGTGTGTGTGTGTGTGTGTGTGTGTGTGTGTGTGTGTGTGTGTGTGTGTGGTCCCATATGGTGCAGTGGTATGTGCAGTCGATTTCCAATCGAGAGGTTGCGGGTTCAATTCCCGACGATTATGGTCGCACACGTCTTTCTTCTCTTTCTCGGTCTCTTCCTGACTTTTCTTTCATTCTCCTGGGTGGTTACCAACAGCCAGTGTATGCCGGAGTATGTGGTGTGGTGTGTGTGTGTAGAAAAAAAAGAAGAAAAAAGAAAAAAAATGGAAAAATGAAAAATAGGGATTCACTGGCCAGAAAAAGTCACTTCAATCAGCTGTGTGGTGGATACCAGGCTAAAAATAGTGGCGGTCAATTCATCAGCCTTGCAAGCTGTTGAATGGTGTAATCCCAGCACAAGTTGCTATGTCTAACATAGCTGTTCGCTATCATCGCTTCCGCGATGGGCAGGTCTGAGGTCTGAGGTGTGTGTGTGTGTGTGTGTGTGTGTGTGTGCCAGCTAGTTCGGTTGGTGGGTACACTTTTGCCAGATAGTGTTGGGTCTGTTGCCAACGGGCTCGGCTGCTTGAAGGTGTATTGTTGTACCTACCACCTTTGTTGGTTTCAGGGTTCATATACTTTCTATTTGAAGTATACATACCTGTTAACCATGGACTACTTCTGGCTAGATTAACTCTTGTGTAATCATAGTGCTAGTGAAGCTTATATCAGATCCAATCTGATTTAGCCATCCACACTAGTAGCAAGTATTACCTTCACTGGGGGCAGGGGTAACTGCAGTTGGATCCTGGACGGATACCCTGATGCCGTCAATTCTTTTTCTGCACCTTGTCCTCACCCACTTACTGAGGCATGGTGAGCTCATAAGTGGGATCATTTTCAAGTCCACCTAGAGTTTTGGGGATTTCAGGAGGTGTCGGCCGTTGGGCGGTTCAATAGCCAATTGAGTCATCTTTCCAAGATTCCTTTTGAGTCTCTCTCCCCTCTTCCGGGGAGACCCACATGACCAGTTTTGGCAGTGAGCAACAAGTACTTGGTCCGTTTCATCGCAATTGTCGCTTATCTCCCACTCACCTTTTGACAGGTAAAACCCAGTCCGATCTCGATATCTAACTCACATTCGTTTGGGAGGTTATGATGGCAAGATCAAAGGAGACCAGAAAGAAAAAAAATCATTGCGACTAGCGCCAGTGGCATCGAGATTCGTACAATTTTGATGGGAAAATGGGAAACTTTTCGCTGCAGGGAATGCACTTCAGTGAATGAACACACTCATTGCAGCGAAAATCCAAGCGCAGCTCCAAGACCGGAACTGTAGCAGGGGAAATCGACATCCTGACCTGGAGAGCGCGACAGTCACGGCCAGGCCAGCCAGCTCAGTCGCCACGTTTGAACTGCAATGACCTGGCATTCTTTGCAAGCCTGCAAACTGATGGCGAGATGGTGGCAAAGAAGATATTGCCCGACCTGGCAGCGGCAGTACAAGAGTCGTGGTCAGCGTATCCAGCAGAGCGTATGGCAGCTGTCTGGAGAGGAATTTGTGCCTGATTCAAAAACATTCTTGAACACACAGTACTGTAGTGACAGACGGGTCACGCTGCCCACGTTCCTCCAAGTGCCAAAGTGACAGCCACGACTGTTCCTTTCCCATCGCTGCCATACGCCAAGCGGAGAAAGCAAGAGATACTCCACGCCAGTAGCTATACACACCAGCGAATGTCAGCTCAAGTAGCAACGGCTCGAGTGATACAGAGCCAGAGTCGGATAAACTAAAGCGTGAGTGCAAGAACGCGCTCCGTCGCTGTTTTCTTTTTTACATTTTTTGTAACCTTGCGTCCTTTCTTCGACTTGCCTCATCAGATTCCATCGCTGAATTTATTTCTTGTGGCGGACAGGAATCCTGTATCATGCTTCTTCCCTATACGTATTGGAAATTTTACAGAGCGGTAAAATACTCCTGTTCTTAGTTGCGATAGATAAGCGACAATTGCGATGAAATGGACCAAGTACAAGTGTGTGTGTGTGTGTGTGTGTGTGTGTGTTAGTTGTGCTCACGTGTCCGTGTACACGTTTGTGTTTGGTTTTATTGAATCTTTCGTTGGCTAGGTTACCGCACAAATGCAACTTACCACGCCAAAGAGATTGATCTGGAACTTAGCCCGAACTTCTTATCCGATGAAGCTGGACGCAAATGCCCTGCAGGCACAGTCCACTTTCGCCCCCACGGTTACGTGACCGATGAACAACTCGCTACAGGTCTATCTTACAGGTCATTCATTTACGGCCCGAAGCTGGGGTCTAAACGTGTATGGAAATTTATTTTCCGTGTGAAAAGGGTTAGTGATAATTATAAACCGCAATCAATAAGACAAGCTGAATCGACATTTGTGTATACTTTATTCATGCAATGTAAAACGGTGGAGATAATGTGCAGGAGAATTAGTTCTTTGCAGCGGAAGTTCGTTAGTTTGTTATAACAGGAATGCTCTTACACTGTGCGTTCAAACTGGGACATGGACGCCGGTTCTCTATGATGCATGGGCAGCAAAAACCATGGATAGGCGATAGTTGGCTGGCTTGATGGCTTTGAGCTGTCCAATAAATGGGTGATCTGTGAGCCAAATATTGGAGCTTTTTGCACCTTCCAAGATGGTAAAAAGTAGTGTTGAAGCGGGCATATGTATAGCAAACGAGCGAGCAGTTCCACTAACGAGCCGGCTATCGAGCGAGCTAACGAGTTTCATTGATGTGGCAAATATGATATTTTTTAAATATTTTTGTTCTATAATTGTAAGTTTGATTTTTTCAATTCAGCTTGTTCAAATGATCACCGCCAAATTGGGGTTGCTGCTGCTTCACTTCGGACTGCTGTTTGATGTCTTTTCATCGCCGTCCTTGAGCAGCCTTTTTAAGAATAGACTGCTTTGCAAATACTGCAAGTAGCCCTGTTTTCCGCTGCATCACGGGAGAAAACTTCCAAACAATTAAGCGTAACTTTCACTCGAATGGAGAGTTGACAGAAAGCACGTCCTGCGACAGGTCAGCAGATGCGGAACAAGGCGTCAGTGGAGTCCACCAAAGCTGCAACGACAACGGAAACAACTCAGTGCCGTGCAAGCCTCAGTCACTCTAACTGCGAGTGATTTTCACTTTGCGCGGGACTCGACTCTCAACCAGGGGTAGGGAGTAGTAAATATTTTAGGACTCCCGGTCGACATTGCACTGCCGTCTGTACAGTGTATGGTCTTCGTTAGTGCAAACGAGCCGAGTTTCTGGCGAGCGAGCTAACGAGTACCCGGTGAGATCGTTTCAACACTAGTGAAAAGAGCGCCCCGACAAAAATGATCAGCAAAAAAGGGAAAAGGGAACGCAGTTACCGTTCGCTCTGATGGAGTGGTTGAGAATAATTTAGCATATTTGGAAGTCTTCAGGGAAGCACAGAGTGCGATAGTTAATAATAGTGTAGCATTATTGCCTGCACTTGCTGCTATGAGCTTGGAAACTCAATCCCTGTCATATGCAGGTCTGGTGTTGGATGCAGACTTGACAAATTTCATGCGCACAGCAAGCATGCATGATTGTGTACTTGCAAAAAAATATTCAAAAACCATCTTGTATCAAATGAGGAGACAATAGGCGTAAAATAGCAATGACTAAAATTAATTGTGCACTCATATTAAATGAAAAGGCGACGAGGAGACAATAGCTTTATCAATGCGATTAATAGTATTAGTGAAGCGGACATTGCAAAATGATGAATGAGAATACATGTATCTAAATGGTTGTTCCTAATCGATTTTCTTGAGACTATCATCAGGGAAAATAGTCTCACAATAGAGGCTATACGGAGAAACAAACTACTTATAGGTTATTGGATAGTGGTAAGTATACAAGGTGAGGTGTGAAAAAATGTGAAAAAATGTCACAAAACTGAGACTCTTCACCTAGCATTCACACACGTATTCATTCGCATACACCTACACCTCACAGTTCCTCACTCTATCACATTCACCTGTTTCCACGCCTTCATTTCACTCACCTTATGTAGTAGCTCACACCGTCGGGAACACTCTCACATCTTTTCTTCTAATTTCTTTCGTCTTCTCTCCCACTTTAGTTTTTTCACACCTCACCTTGTATACTTACCACTATCCAATAACCTATAAGTAGTTTGTTTCTCCGTATAGCCTCTATTGTGAGACGATTTTCCCTGATGATAGTCTCAAGAAAATCGATTAGGAGCAACCATTTAGATACATGTATTCTCATTTATCATTTTGCAATGTCCGCTTCACTAATACTATTAATCGCATTAATAAACTCATATTAAAGTACGTAAAGAGAAAAGGGCCTAGTTCTCACTAACAGTTACTAAGTTAGTTCTCACTAACAATCCATCCCTTCCCTTCATTGGAACTCTCCGCACCTGAGCCTCCCCAGTTGGAAGGTTGTTGGTTTGCGCTTCGTCGATGTGTTGGAGCTAGTTGCCGGGTCGGCGAATGTCTCAATATCCTTGTCAGTTTGTGACTTGTTCTGACACTATCTGACTGTGTATTATCTCGTTACCTTGGTGGACTGTTAGTCATAACTTATAACTTATAGGTCCTTTTCTCTTTACATATCACTATTGGCTCAACATCCGAGTTTTTATTCATAAGGGCCGTCCGTAAATACATGTATCTACTTAAGGACGTCCAACAGGCGTTTCTGGTGGGTGGGTGCGCCTGCAAGGCGTTTCTAAAAACTACATATCGGAGTGCATGCATACCATACAGCGCGTGTACATGTATAATTATGATGTAGCACTGGCAGGCGTTGAGACACACTACACTGCATGCGGCGGCAAGCGAGAGTAGACAGGAACACACAACTGTTCGCTATAAGGGGTGGATTTTAACAGGGTTCGAACAGGGACTTGGACAAGGGTTCGCTATATCACGGAATTCGCTATATGCGAGAGTATGTAACCCACCGTTAATACTCTTGATAGTATGGTGTTGATTATGAGTGGTATTATCTGCATTTTCGGGGAGGGGGGGGGGGGGGGGTTCTGGGGGTGGGTGGGTGTTTGGATTGGATTGGATTTATTTATTTATAGTGGTGACTATAACAGACAATTGCCTAATAACAATAGACCCACTCGAGGGAAATATGCAAAAAGATATGAATAATTATATACTGTAAATATACAAATTTTCGGCAGCTATTTAAGTTATTAATGTGCCTCCCTTTCTTTTTCTCTCCCTATCTCCTTTCCCTCTCTGACAGCATCTTTCTTTTTTTCTTCTTTTTTTTCCCTTTTAGCTTGCCGTGGTTGGCTATCACCTGACCTCTCATGTTTATTGGCAGTCTTCGGATGGGCCAGGAGATGTTGAATAAATAAATAAATAAATAAATAAGTTCGGCTATATTCGGCACCGACCCAAAACGCCTAAATTAAAACGCCAATGAAATTTTTCACAGCATCTCTCGCACTATACCATGCCCTCTACCCGGTACCCCACGCCGAAAATAAATCGCCGCCGAAATGTCAAAAATCGTGAAGTGCCGAAATTTTGCAGCGCCGAAATTTTGTATATTTACAGCAATAGACTACCGGTACAGGGATCGATTTACTTTGATTTTTCTGCATAGCAGTCACTGCTACACAGTTTTACAATTGACTAGCAACTCCCAGTATTGATTAGCAGTTTTCCTTCATCAAAAGTGTACAATCATGTATATCTAATATTACACAGCAATGAATCAACCAAGTGTCTTATTGGCCACAGGCCATCGTGAGAATAAAAGAATTCAAGTCTCATTCCGCTGTTACTCCGAGTTTCGTGTCAGAACACTTCATCAGGCAGCATATGACCAAGACTAACAATCACTAGAATATATGAGCCAGAGCACGCGAAAAGGGTGCTTAGCCTCAAATGTTGGAAATTGGGTTTTTTAGTGCACCATATACCTGCAAGCTTCACAAATCATTTAAAAAAAATTAGTCAAAAACTCCCAGTAAAACCTAAGTTACAAGCATTTGTGTTGGTTGCGGTCTGGCGGTCGCAAACACAAAAGCACGCCTGCCACGCTAGTTGCAACAGATGTAACGGAGAATCATTCTGGACAGTATTTTGTCATGGTTTGCCATCTAGCACCAAAGAGCCATGTAAGTATCAGGTAAGAAGCATCTCTAGACCAAACACTTCACACAATTTGTAGTGTTTACGACATTATTAGTGAGGACTGGCTAGTCCCGGCCCGAATATCAATGTGCCGCAAAAGGCAAATCCAGCAATGCATGATACACATGCAATGGTGGTACACAGTCAGTAAATTACTCGTAGTATAAAGAGAAAAAGGGAGATTAAATTTCAGAGAAGCAAATCTGATTGATTGAGAGAGAAAATTTAAGTTCACAGTGGTGGTGGTGCTGGGCAAACTTCATCTTGCCACTGGTCAGCTACATACGGGCGGATTTCCTTGTACAAGTAAGTTTGGCGCTCTCTGGACATGCCACCCGGGGGTAGAACATTCGGAAGGCCAGCAGCTTGCACTTGTTCAGCTGCGGTCTTGAGGATGGCAACAGGAGTAAAGTTATCATCCACCAACTTCTTTACATCGACGATGCCAGGTGTTTCACACGAGAACAGGAAATGATGCTGCTTGCTTACTTGCGGGATTGGTCGGAATAAACCCTCAAAGAACGTGTCCCACTCGTACAATACTAGGCCAGATCCTGGAATGGTTTGAGCAGCGTTACAAATGCTGCTGCTGTTGACAACATCACACAGCTGACCCATGGTGTAGCAATCTGCTCTCCTGTACCGCTGCTTCAAAAGACCAAACATACAATCCACCAAACAACGTGTGTGACCTGTGATCATGAAGGAGAGAGAGATTTTCTTGTGGAGGCCGGTGAGACATCTCCATGCAAGATAGGTCATGATAGTTCTGTTTTTGTTCTGGCCTGCGCAGTTGTCGGCGTGAAGTACGCACTCTTCTTCATGCAGGCCATGTACTTGAAAGTAGTGGTGTAGCAGAGATGCGACGGTGTTCGGATTGTGTGAACGTTTACCATCACAGCCAATTGTGTCTGTCTCATCTAGCAGGTAGTTAATCTGTCGTGGTTGGGCCTCACAGCATACACCAAAGAGCTGCACTTTCCGAGGGGTTTGGTAATAGAGAGGACCTTCCTGACGTGCTGTATTGGGTAGGAACACGTTTTGCGCGAAATCAAACGTATAATAGAGAGGTTTCGACCCGCGTGATTTGTGCTCCTACGTGAACGTCAATTTTTTGCGTCGACGCGAGCTCAGAAAGAGCTTTCGTTTCACGTTGCTTGTGAAGCGCTTCGTGTCGCTGACGACAGGAGCGAAAACTGGGAGCGAAAACTTCAAAAAGTGAAAAAAGTGATTTTTGGTGAGGCCGAAGTCGCACAAATATTATTTATAGCTAGTTTAGGCAAAATCGACAAATCGAGTCAATAATCCCAACCTGATAGCAAGGCTAAATTTGCAAAAACTCGCGTTCACGTCGAACGTGAGTTGACCTCAGCTCACGTCATGAACGGGAGTTTCGACGCCAAAATTTGCCACACCGACGTGAAATTTCACGGTGTAGTGCAGAACAACGTGAAGCGAAACCTCTCTAATGAACCTTCCTTTTGATTGCCACTCCAGAATCTAGCTCAGCTTTGGCATCCAGTGTGGCCTGCTTGTAATGCTCTCTCTCCCTCTGCGTAGTGTTCACATGGTCTGCCAAATCCTTGCAAGCCTGAAGCTTCTCATTCTCACCGAACGCCGTTGTCACCTTTCGGAGAAGGGGAGAAGGGGGCAAAGGTGATGGAGGTACATTTCAATGGCGCGAGGAAAAGGGATGACAAAATCAGCGTGATTATATTGAAAAGAGGAAAAATATATGTTGAGAGTATAGAGCATAGCCAGGGTTGAGAAACAGCGCGATTTTCTGGCAACACATCAGTACAGATTTGTGCTGCATTGTTACACATCAAACTGTGACCTAGGGTGGTAAAAAAGGTGACGGGGATTGTGTTATATCTGTACAATAGCAGGATTTTGTACAGAAGTGGACAATAGCTGCTGTTGCTATTTTACTTTTCCAAGCGAACGGTCGACATGAATATTTACGTTAGGATTTTGTTACATGTTCAGCGTTCATCCGACTTGTTAGTTCTTCAGAACACAGTATCCTTCAACAGGGGCGGTTCCGCTGATTCCTTCGACAAAGAAAGCTCAGGAAAGCGCTCAAACGATCGTAACATTCCGTGCAAAGTGTACAGAATTTTTGCTTTGCTCCATCGAAACGAATCAACATTCCTGGCGCGTCCAGTTCTTTTTCCCACTTCTGGACAGTGATCAGATTCACTGACATGTTGGTCACATGGGACTAAGAACCATCTACTTCAACTGTGTCTTGTCGAACAGAAGCAAACTGAATTGAGCTTGACAGTGAAAGAAGAATGGAGAACTTCAGGGAAAGTTGCCACCGTGCAGTGTACCATGGTGTACAAACCTTCAAAAGACTGCAGTGCTAGTGCAGTGTCCAAAAATCATCCAGAGCGCGATCCGCGACCCGCGCGCGGACTAAACCGTGGACTAAACCGTAAACAGGGCAGGCCAGTTGGTTGGAGTAGTAAAAATACTACTCCCTAGTCAGTAGTGTGCACAACAGTCACATGTAAACTGCACACAATCAGTACATACCGGTATTCATGGCCAGTGCATTGCAGTTTTGGGTGATAAAAACGAAAAGCGAATCGCAGCCAGTGAATTTTGATTCACAAACTGCGATGCGAAACCAGATAAATCGATCCCTGCGATATTGAAAAGGTGATCGAAGAAAGAAACGCCTGTTCCTGTCTACTCGCCGTTTGTTCAAACATGGGTTGTCTTCTAGTACAACTAGACGTGAAGTTGTACTAGAAGACAACCCATGTTTGAACAAACGGCGAGGAGACAACAATTTGATAACCGCAATCAGTAATACAGCGACGAGGAGGACCGGAAAAGTAGGAACCCTTCCTTGGACAATAAATTCCTCGCGGCTAGTTGCCATTCTTTCCCTTACCCTCCATCGTACCAAGTTTCATCACTTCACGTGCACGCGTTCATGTCCAAAGTCTAAGTTCAAATTGTCGAAAGATAAGCGACAATATTGCTGACGGCGGACCAAGTAGGATTATCATTTTCATGGGTGTTGTTTCTTCTCACTCCATTTCTCTTTATTAGTATCTTTCTGGATTGTTTTTCATTAGTACAACGTAGCTTCCTGAGCTCACCGGAGCTCCCGCTATTCCGCCGACTTTACTTGACACTTGACTGACTCACGACTGCCATCCATAGGCACGAGAAGTCCATCGAACCTTCGACTCGGCAAACCTGCAAGAAAGCACCACTCCCTGCTCAATACACAGTGTTTCGGGGAATTCACCCCTCATCAGTTGAGCTTGAGTAGGCTGAGGAAGATTGTGCCTGAAGAGCACCACTTATATAGTGCTCTCCAGGCACAAACATCACCAGGGATACAAACTTACAGAGACGCTGCGCTTCCAGCGCGACAAACACCTCGTGAACACCAGATAGCAGCGTGAGTCAGTGTCGCTCCTGGACGGTGAGACAGACGTCGAGGACCCTCGGTCATTCGCAACGCTGTCACCTCCAAACCAACTAGTCGCAAGCCCGCGCTGGGCACAACAGTACGAAGTAGTGGTTGCGACTTCGGCGATGATTTGTAAGGAAGGTTTGCTCCCCACCCGGAGCTCGCGCTATTCCGCCGACTTTACTTGACACTTGACTGACTCACGACTGCCATCCAGAGCACACGAGAAGTCCATCGAACCTTCGACTCGGCAAACCTGCAAGAAAGCACCACTCCCTGCTCAATACACAGTGTTTCGGGGAATTCACCCCTCATCAGTTGAGCTTGAGTAGGCTGAGGAAGATTGTGCCTGAAGAGCACCACTTATATAGTGCTCTCCAGGCACAAACATCACCAGGGATACAAACTTACAGAGACGCTGCGCTTCCAGCGCGACAAATACCTCGTGAACACCAGATAGCAGCGTGAGTCAGTGTCGCTCCTGGACGGTGAGACAGACGTCGAGGACCCTCGGTCATTCGCAACGCTGTCACCTCCAAACCAACTAGTCGCAAGCCCGCGCTGGGCACAACAGTACGAAGTAGTGGTTGCGACTTCGGCGATGATTTGTAAGGAAGGTTTGCTCCCCACCCGGAGCTCGCGCTATTCCGCCGACTTTACTTGACACTTGACTGACTCACGACTGCCATCCAGAGCACACGAGAAGTCCATCGAACCTTCGACTCGGCAAACCTGCAAGAAAGCACCACTCCCTGCTCAATACACAGTGTTTCGGGGAATTCACCCCTCATCAGTTGAGCTTGAGTAGGCTGAGGAAGATTGTGCCTGAAGAGCACCACTTATATAGTGCTCTCCAGGCACAAACATCACCAGGGATACAAACTTACAGAGAGGCTCGGTTCCCAACGCGACAAACACCTCGTGAACACCAGATAGCAGCGTGAGTCAGTGTCGCTCCTGGACGGTGAGACAGACGTCGAGGACCCTCGGTCATTCGCAACGCTGTCACCTACAAACCAACTAGTCGCAAGCCCGCGCTGGGCACAACAGTACGAAGTAGTGGTTGCGACTTCGGCGATGATTTGTAAGGAAGGTTTGCTCCCCACCCGGAGCTCGCGCTATTCCGCCGACTTTACTTGACACTTGACTGACTCACGACTGCCATCCAGAGCACACGAGAAGTCCATCGAACCTTCGACTCGGCAAACCTGCAAGAAAGCACCACTCGCTGCTCAATACACAGTGTTTCGGGGAATTCACCCCTCATCAGTTGAGCTTGAGTAGGCTGAGGAAGACTGTGCCTGAAGAGCACCACTTATATAGTGCTCTCAGGCACAATCTTCCTCAGCCTACTCAAGCTCAACTGATGAGGGGTGAATTCCCCGAAACACTGTGTATTGAGCAGGGAGTGGTGCTTTCTTGCAGGTTTGCCGAGTCGAAGGTTCGATGGACTTCTCGTGTGCTCTGGATGGCAGTCGTGAGTCAGTCAAGTGTCAAGTAAAGTCGGCGGAATAGCGCGAGCTCCGGTGTGGTGAGCAAACTTTTCTTACAAATCATCGCCGAAGTCGCAACCACTACTTCGTATTATTATTATTATGAACTCGGATGGTGAGCCAATATAGTTATGATGAAGAAAGGAAAAGGACAACATGTTACGAGTTATGACAAACTGTCCACCAACGCAACCAGATCTTATACAGCCAGCGAGTGCGACAAAATGGCACAAAACTGACAAAGAGTACTGAGACATTCGGCGACCTGACGCCTAGCTCCAACGTGTTGGAGCTGGGCTGAATGTCTCAGTACTCTTTGTCAGTTTCGTGCCAATTTGTCGCACTCACTGACTGTATAAGATCTGGTTACGTTGGTGGACAGTTTTTCATAACTCGTAACATTTTGTCCTTTTCCTTTCTTCATCCTAACTATATTGGCTCACCATCCGAGTTCAAATTATTATTATTATTTTGAATTAAAGGTGTCAGCACCGACGCAATACACACAGTCAGGTAAGCCAATTTATTAACCGAACGTTTTCATTCCCTTCTCATCATGGGCAAAAACAGGGAATAATGGAAAAATGTCAAATACAGCAACTTATAGAGCAAAAGCATAGATTGAGAACTCACGCTATACGTGTGGAAAAAATAAAATTCAGCTGAACAAGTCAACAACAGGGTGAAGGTGAAGAAATAATTATAATGATTATAATGAAAACATCAATGAGGAGAAGCATTACTGACACTTTGACGAGGATTAGCGCCAAACAACTGAAGCGACAAAACATTTTCCTTCTGGACACATAGTTCAGGGGACAACTTGTGAATATATAACGCAGTTCCAAAACAGACAAATGTAATACAGATCTACCACGGGCCAAAAACTGAGAAAACATCATCTCTGTGACGACTCACGACAACTATCACTAACCGACAGATGACTCTTGATCGCCGATTGCTGACTGTTGGAATTTCTCGTCTTATGTTTTAGATAATTCGTACCCTTGCAATGTATGCTGGAAAACGGTCCTGCAATTACGAAAAAAAGGATAGAATTCAGAGGGGTGAACACTTCTTTGGTGAAGTTGATCAAACCTTTACCATCAAGTGTGACGGTGTACTACCAGCAATGCTGTGTGTCAGTAAGTGCATACTTGTGATGACAAGATATTTGTTTTCATGGCACTAAACTCTCCTCTACATGTTAAACGCATTGCGCATCTCTTCAAACAAGCTCATGTTTAAATTCAGTGAACTATAAAAGTATCAAAAAGTATCATGCTTATGTTGAAGTCTCACGGCACGCACGCATGTATAATGGAAGTCAAAGTTCTTTGTTCGCACGAGGGACTCGAGATGATAAAGGATGAGACAGGAGGATATAAATGGCCTGGGTAGCTATGGCAATGAATGTACGAAAGCGCTTATGCAGCTACCCAGGCCAAACGAATTATACAGGAACGTGGGAAAAGAAGTGAGGGGAGAGCGCGGGAGCAAAAAGTTGCAGCCTACATGTATTCGAGAAACGGGAATGGGAAAGGGTGCATGCAGTGATGTGTGTATGAGTGTGTATGTGTGTACGTGCATATATGGGGGAGAGGTCATGGGTGTGTGAGTGCGTGCGTGCGTGCGAAAAAGATATGCGAATAGAACCAAGGGAACGAGGTGTATGAGAGAGAGAGAGAGAGAGAGAGAGAGAGAGAGAGAGAGAGAGAGAGAGAGAGAGAGAGAGAGAGAGAGAGAGAGAGAGAGAGAGAGAGAGAGAGAGAGAGAGAGAGAGAGAGAGAGAGAGAGAGATAGATAGAGAGAGAGAGAGATAGATAGAGAGAGAGAGAGAGAGAGAGAGAGAGAGAGAGAGAGAGAGAGAGAGAGTGAGAGAGTTAGAGAGTTAGAGAGAGTGAAATAGAGAGAGTGAGAGAGTGAAAGAGAGAGAGATTTAGAGAGTGAGAGAGAGTGAAAGAGAAATTTAGAGAGTGAGCGAGAGTGAAAGAGAGAGTGAGAGAGTGAGAGAGAGAGTGAAGGAGAGAGAAAATTATGACAAAAGCTAAGAGGCAGTCTAATTTGGCGCTGACAAATGTAGAGGTATCTATTGAAACTGCAAGGGGCAGATAATACAAAATTATTACAGGGTGCGATAGAGCTCTCAGTTATTGAAGAGAATGTTGAGTATCACCTCCACCAGTACACTGTACTCTCAGCCAGCTAGACCCTCCTGCACACAACCATCACCACTGCGAGGACACTTCCGTTGACAATATTGACAACGTTTATTCCTTCAGACAGCTGTTTCGCTAATACATAGCTCATCAGTGAAGGTAGACGTTGAAAGATTTAAATATATAAGACCAAACTGCTGCTATATAGGGTTTTCTACATACAAAACTGGTGTAGCTGAGGTGATAACGTGGGAAATGGAAAGCGTGAAGTACTGTTTTCGCGCATCGGACATTCAAGCAGCATCAGAAATTTGGCGTGGAAAATCGCACGCACGCACACTGTGACACACACACACTACTACTACTATCAATCAGCTACCCCTTGGGGTCACGCCGCCCTCCACTCAGAGAACTGAGCGCAAGGTGAGGGGCAGTGGCGCAAACAAAACAGGAAGTACAGCAAAATGAATTGAAGAAAAGGAAATCAAAACAAGCTGCCATATTGATGGAAAGGGACTCACAAACAGAGGAAGGAAATATCACAAACCAGATGAACAATCTGCTGTAGGTCCACTATAAGTATAACATGCAACGACTGAAAAAGGAACAAAATTAATGTGAACATGATGTTCTGTTCAACAATAACGTCTGTACGCGTACTGCTTCGGCCTTCATGCACCAGAAAAGCACAATCTTGAGCTTGAGGGTGGGCACACAAGGGCTCCACAAAACGTACTTTCACGAAACGACGAGGAGTATGCGCAGCAAGCTAACAGCACTACACCATCGCCGCACGACGACTGGCCACTCAGTTCCAAACAACA